AACCACTGAGCTAAATCCCCAGCCCCTATCTTTTTTTTTTTGACAAGTGTTTTATTAAAAATTATCCAATCAGAAAATTCTAAAATTTAAAGCTGCATTTTTGGCATTACTTAAATATAATACCGATTTTTAAAAACTTTTTGAGATACTTGTGGATTGTACTCCTTTTGATCAGAATATTTTCATCTGCTATGTGAGTGCCTCTTCTCTATGAAGATCTGCTAAGGTGAAGGGGATACATTGGCTTCCAGTTTCCAGCAAGCTCTTGGAGACACTCAGTTCTATAGTCAATCTGCATCTGCCCCTTAGCAGCACATGTATGCTGCCCTTTATATATAAAGCTGGCATTACTGAAGTAAACATACAATTGGATATTCCTATCAAATTAGAAAAAATGTGCTACATTCTGATGTGTCAAAGCATTTTGGCATTTATTACAGTGTTTGACTCTTGAAGCCACGCTTTGACCTGCTGTGCATGACCCAATCTATAGACCACCAGATAGATGGAGAAGGTGCTGCACGATTTCACTTCTTCCTCAGCCAGCCCATCTCCTCTGTGGTTATCCGCTCATGTGCTGATAAGGGTGTTTAATAGCCTCAAACTTACGGCAGTCCTCCTGCCTTAGCTTCCCGAGTGCTGGGATTACAGATGTGCACCACCACATCCTGCATCCTGTCCTTGAGTTCTGATTACTTCTTGGGGTCTTCAGAGCCAGGAGTTCAAAACTGATCCTGAGCTGCAGGAAATGGCACATACCTGTAATCCCAGCTACTCAGCAGGCTGAAGCAGGAGGATTTCAAGTTCAAGTGCAGCCTAGTGTAACCAGTTTTCTCTTTTGGGGCTCTTGTCCTGAGGGCAAGGGAAGAATGAAGCTGTCAGGACAGCAGTGGGGTAATGGAACTTAATGTGGTTTATTAGAACAAAAAAAGCTCTGGCTAGTTGAGAGTGAGTTCTGAGTGAGGACACCAAAGAAGTGTCCAAACCTAGAGGCTTATATGTAGCTTTTGGCTTGAGAGAGGGGCAGGAAGATGTGTAAAAATGAAGGAAGAAGTTGCCACTGAACAGCTTCTTGTCATTGGCAGATTCTATTAGTCTTTTGTCCTTTGTGCTCCAATTAGGCCTTTGTCCCTTGTGGCCCAATTTCATGAACTTACCTCAGTTTATCCAGGTCCTGGCCTTCAGTTTATTCAGTCCCTTGCCCTCTGTCTATCTTCTAGTCTCACTAGGAAGCTCAGCCAGACCCTATTTCAAAGTTTAAAAGGGCTGAAGGTGTAACTCAGTGGTAAGCAGTTGCTAGCATGCATAGGCCCTAGGTTCAGTCCCTAGCATTACAAAAACACCAAAACTGACTCTATATTGCTGTTGAAAATGGTAATGTTAAACAGAGTTTAAACACAGAGTTGCTTTTTGACAGCCATTCCACTCCTAGGGACATACTCAAGAGGATTGAAAACTGAGTCTGGGATGTAGCTCAGTGATAGAACACTTGCCTAGCATGTGTGAAGACCTGGATTCCCCAGCACCAACCAACCAACCAACCAACCAACCAAC